CATTGAATTGGATTATTTGGCAGTGTGGATTCAGATAACCCAGTTCAAAGCAGATATTGTGGATTATCTGCCTTGATATTCTGGCTTATATGGAAGAGCCCTTAGTTAGCAAATACAAGTGGTGGAAGAATAAATACCTATATAGGAATGAACACACACACACACACACAAACTAAACACTCTCACACACTGAATCTTGCATTTTATTGAAAAAATAAAAATGAGCAGTGGTTAGAGAAATCATTCAGTATTATTTCCATCAGATTTCAAAAATCAAATAACCTTACAAGAGCCAAATACAAGTTTTCATTGGAGTGAGTTTACAGTACGTGTAACCACATTCAGATTACAGAGCCCTTTATGTACTACGTACACAAAAACAAATGGTTATACATATATTGCATGTTTACAAAGACCCATTAGACTAGATGATTAATACATTGAATAATAATCATTTCACATAAGATGCAGTAGGCATTATATATCACAAACATCAATTTTATTTTCTCGTTATACCCCACAAATGATTGCTTGGCTGTTTCCTTACATGCACAGAACCTAAAAAATGTCAACAAATTTTACCTTAAGGAAATCTACCACTTTAAATTAAACATCTTGGCCATCTTCAATTCTCAACAGGATAGTGGAACTGAGGGTCCTTCTACACAGTCATATAACCCAGACGATCAAGGCAGAAAATCCCACAATATCTGCTTTGAACTGGATTATCTGAGTCCACACTGCTATATATTCTAGTTCTAAGCAGATAATATGGGATTTTATTCAGCTGTGTGGAAGGGACCTGAGAGAATAAGGCAAAATGTATCCCATGACATGAACAGATGATTCTTCATTAGTGTTGAAGACCAAACCCTGACCAAACCTGGTTGCTATGTATGAAACAACTTTCCATTTATTTTATTTATAGGAGTGTCAGAAAACCAGTGCCCCTACATTTATTGCCGGCATGCCATTCTTTTGAATGATGAAAATTAGAACCCAAAGACATTTGGGAGACTATTTTCTCATCCTGGCTATACAAAGCTATTATCCTAAAGGCTGTATTAGAAGTTATCCTTTCCTCACTGATGGCAGCCCAATCTCTGCTGCCACCTGAGATAAGAAAGAACCTATGTAGCCAACATACAACAGCAATAGTTATCTTCCTGCCTTGTTTTTATTCTCACAAACACCCTTTTACCTGGTGTTCTGCGTAAAGATATGCCAGATGTTCTAGTGGCAGGTGTTTCTTTATATAGATGGCAGGTTGGCAGATTGGTAGTGGCAGGCAGGTAGAAGAGTCGTAGAAGGTAGCATGAAGGACATGGGCCTGTTGGCAAGGCAAAAGGAGTTGGGAAAGGATGGCAAAATGAAGAGACAACTGTGGTGCGAGTGGCACACTTTGCCTTGTTAAGGGTAGGATTGCTCCTTCTGCTTTCACAGAATGTACATCAGTGATTGGGGTGTGTGTGTGTGAAATGCCCATGCTTATAAAAAAATATACGCAGTGTTGTAGTGGCAAATTTTGAAGTGACATTCCCCATCATGATCCTTATGCTGCTATTTATTATTTTTCCCCCCAATAGCACTTTTCATCTCTCCAAGAAGCATCTCTCTGTAAAGCTAAAGGATCTTCATTGTCCTCTCAACATCAAGCCATCTCACTGCAATACACTCTGAATTACAACAAGGATAGTTGACATAATTGGTAGGAATAGGCATTTTCCCTCCAGCAACCATAGGTATTACAGGAAAAACTCAGAGCAAAAATAGTAGCACAAGAGAAGTGTTACAGAATGCTGTACATTCTCAATTTGTGGCTAACACTTTTTTATCTTCTCTCTAGGAATCCCTAAGATCCTCCAGGGTGACTCTATGGCTGATCATGGAGTTGCTCTGGAGGACCTAGGGATTCCTAAAGAGGTGTTCTCTCAGGTAACAAATCTTTGTGTTTTTAATGGTTTTTTCCACAAACTCTCACAAAAGTGGAGAGTCTTCTGCTGTCTCCTATTAATAAAAGGAGCCGCGGTGGCGCAATGGGTTAAACCCTTGTGCCAGCTGAACTGCTGACCTGACCTGAAGGTAGGCGGTATGAAGTCATGAGACAGAGTGAGCTCCCTTCTATCAGCTTCAGCTTTCCATGCGGGGGACATGAGAAAAGCCTCCCATAGGGCATCCCCTGTGCAACGTCTCTGCAGATGGCCGATTCTCTCACACCAGAAGCAACTTGCAGATTCTCTAGTTGCTCCTGACATGATTACAAAAAATTAATAACACACCTCAGGATTTTGACTCCACTACACCACTGAATAAATTCAACTGTGATTGCTATGCACAAATAATTCTGTGGTCTGCATTTACAAGAAATTTCCATCATATTTGCCATATGGTACTGTGTGTTGTGAAGGACATAATCTGTAAAACAATTCCAATTCAAGTTTTAAGCATGATCAAGGTGTGTAGTGAATGCACCTATGACAGCAGGAATGAATGAACATGTTGCATTGAAACGGTAACACAAGAAGCATATTCAGGATACATTTGTTTGACCACAGTATAATGTAAACAGACTGTGAATTGTCCCAAGTGACAGGGAAGCTGCATTCTGAACTTTCAGCAAGAAAAAAAAAGTAGCATCTAAACCCAATCTCTGCCAGAAATATGTGGAGAGTTCATTACATTTAGCAAAGCATTCTCCAGCCTGATATTTTTAGACTTGATGTTCTACAAAGCTTGAATGAGGATGATGGGAATTGTTATTCAGCACATCCAAAAGGCAGCAGGTTGGAGATGGCTAGGTTTAAGTGTCAGCCAAATTCCACAACTCTGCCATGAAGTTAACTGAGTAAACATGGCAAATCATGAATTCTCAGCTTCATCTAACTCACGGTGTTGCTGTGGGAGTGAATGAGTGAAGAAAGAAGAAGAGGGCACACCTTTTTGAGCTCCCTGGAGCAGATGCAGGAAATAATTTTAATAAATAATAGTCACTGTAGCATAACAGGATTCAGTTTTGTTATTCAACACACTTGCCATTATTCTCAGCTATTCAACCATCACAAAAAAAGTTTTTTATAAGACATTTTCCAAAAGGTATAAAGATGTCTTTCTTTCGCCAGAGTTAAGTAATCAAAACAAGGAAATTAAGGAATGTATTATATTAATTAACATATTAGATCTCAAGAGCAGTAATTTCAGTTATTAACTCCTTTAAGACACAAAGGGAGTAAAGGCAGCTTAGACTAGGAATGGCTTCCAGGAAAGTCTCTCATTTGAAGGCAATGGAATATTTTTAAATGGATTTCTAAAAGGTACATCAGGTAGGCTGTAGGCACAGCAGCAGGCACTCAAATAGCGAGTCATAAATGCGACATCATTCACTGAAAGATACAATCATATGCTAATGCTGGAAACATGTGACCATCCAGATCTTGGTGGACCACAACTCCCATCATCCTTAGCAACTTGCTGTGTTGGCTAGGACTTGATGGGAGTTTCAACTCAACATTTGGAGGCCACATATGCTTTAACCCTATGTTAGTGGGAATTCCCAAAACATTCCTTGGTGCGTGATAATCTGAGAAGAAATTGGTGTATTACTGACAGTAATATAACTAACCCAAGTGCTGAAATGCTGGATCCCAGAACTGCAAGTCTGTGGATCAGAACCACACAATCGGTGGACAGACAAAACAAACAAGCCTTCTATGTAGGAATCTTCCTCTGGCAGGTTGTCCCCTAATGAAGTTTGTGGAGCAGACAAATAACTAAATAATTAGAAAATCATTCCTTCACACCTTCAACATAATTTCAACATAATTTACTAGTAGTTTCTGACATAATGCAAACATGTCAACAAGATCAGATCAGAGTATCCTCAAATATGGACCAAGATGACAATGAGCCGTTGGATCAGAGCATTTACATAGCCCTTCCTATCTCCTGTATTATAGTGGAGAACCTTTGTCCCCCCCAGATGTCAGGGACTTGAACTCCCAGAAGTCTTGGCAAGCATAGCGAATGGTAAGGAATTGTGGGAATTGCAGCTCAAGACATCTGCAGGGCAAAAGATTTTCTATCTGTACTTTGCATGTTCTTGGCTCATTGCCTATTCTCTTGCACCAAATTTATGTTTATAAATATCCTCCATTTAATGTATTGTTGAAGGCTTTCATGGCTGGAATCATTGGGTTGTTGTACATTTTTAGGGCTATATGGCCATGTTCTAGAAGCATTCTCTCCTGATGTTTCGCCTACTTGCCATAGATACAGGTGAAACGTCAGGGAGAATGCTTCTAGAACATGGCCATACAGCCCAAAAAACCTACAACCCAATCCTCCATTTGCTAATGAGGATCACTAAGAGAAAATGGAGGAAAACCACTACCAAGCTCAAGAAGTGCCAAACAGGTGAGAATAAATGCTACTGCCAACTGTCTTCCCCTAAAAAAGATATTGCACCCATTTAAATTCCCCCCTCCCCATAAAATATATTTAACGTTTATAATGTACAAAGATCAAAGTGCCCCACTTTTACCAAGTAAATGCTAATTGATTCTCATTATAATGTCTGTTAGCTCACTTCAATCACAGGTGAGGAGAGCTTATTAAAAGCTAGGGTTGCTCTATAGAAATTTAGCGCTTTTCAGCAAACAGCCTCAAGACATCTCAAAGCATATCCCATTCCCTTCAACCAGGGTTAGGGGAGCCTGAGGCCCCACAGATGTGGTTGGACTACAATTGCCATAACATCGAAGCTATTAGCCATACAAAGTGGGGCTCATGGGCCTGAAGTACAACCACATCTGGAAAAGTACATGCGCCTAACCCTGCCATAAAAGAAGAGGAAACCTTCCCAAAGATCATTTCATAATCACTGGTGACTTCCATAAATAAAGAGAATGAAAGTCACAAAAGACATTAAGCATCTCTCCTAGCATGAAGAGATATACATGTATGGATTGTTTAAATCCTGCATTGTAAATACAGAAGCCTCTTGAATTCTAATCAATGAAATTATAAGTGGCATCTTATGAGTTTCACTATTACACTTAGTAAAAATGACCCACACAAGCCCAGAGACATTCATATTGTTAACGACCATTTCATGAAATAGCTTAATGAAATTACACCCATTTGAATCCACATATGGACATGAGAGGTCAGGAGCTGTGACAATGGTAAATTATGTTTTATATATGCTCTGGATGACTCTGGAGACAGGAGATCATCTCTTGGACAGGTTTCCCTTCATAACAGATTTGATAGACAGCAGCAAACAATGGAAACCTAAAAGGCAGAGACAAAACAGAAAGGCAAATATCTTACTAGATGGAGGAGAACAGCACTCATGATATATGCTTAACCAAGAAAAATGTTGTAAAGCAATGCTAAATGAGACATGTAGAATCATCACAGGATGTCTTAAACCTACACCTGTTGATAGACTTTATAAGCTAGCTGGCATTGTCCCCCCTGATGTGCGACAGGAAGTTGCTGCCAATTGCAAGAGAAATAAATTTGAACACTGTGAAAGCCATCCACTATATGGCTATCTGCTTCCTCCCAGTAGACTTAAATCAAGGAAAAGTTTCATGAGAACCACCACTCCTCTAAAAGTTCCTCAGCAACAGGAAGAACATCCCTGTAGGCAACAAAATCAGGCAATTCCAACTGGATGGCCCCCCACGAGGACCTTCCTCCAGGGGCAAACCAAGAATGGGCAACTTGGAAGTCCCTGAACAGACTCAGAAGCAGAATTGGGAATGTGGAACAACATTAGTAATCCCAAGTCGGTCTCCTGATATGGTAAGTCGGTGTAACCAGGATGGCGGTCCCTCCGAATTGAAAGTGGTGCTGTTGAACGCCAGATCTGTCAACGGTAAAACAACTTTCATCCAAGATTTAATCCTGGATGAACGGGCAGATCTGGCGTGCATCACAGAGACCTGGTTGGACGAAGCGGGAGGTGTAAATTTAACCCAGCTTTGCCCACCAGGTTTCTCTGTGCAGCACCAACCGAGATCCGGAGGGCGGGGAGGCGGAGTTGCAGTGGTCTATAGAGATTCCATTCTTCTGACCAGGGCCCCCATCCCGCAGTCAACAAATTTTGAATGCGTCCACCTGAGGGTGGGTGACCGGGACAGATTAGGGATTCTGTTAGTGTACCGCCCACCTCGCTGCACTACAGACTCCCTGACTGAGCTAGCGGGGGTGGTCTCGGACCTGGCGTTGGAGTCCCAACGGCTGCTTGTGCTGGGGGACTTCAATGTCCATGCCGAGGCCGCCCTATCGGGAGCGGCTCAGGACTTCATGTCTACCATGGCAACCATGGGGCTGTCCCAACAGGTATCTGGCCCCACCCACAGTGCTGGACATACATTGGACTTGGTTTTCTGCCAGGGATGGGAGGAAGGTGGCGGTGTTGAGGAGTTATCCATCTCTCCGTTGCCATGGACCGACCACCACCTGGTCAGCTTTAGACTCACTGCACCCCCTAACCTCCGCAGATGTGGAGGACCCATTAAATTGGTCCGCCCCAGGAGGCTTATGGATCCGGATGGATTCCTGATGGCTCTTGGGGAATTTCCCGCCACCTCGGTTGGTGTGATCCTGTTGATGCTCTGGTCGCTCTCTGGAATGGGGAGATGACTAGGGCAATAGACACGATCGCTCCAGAACGTCCCCTCTCAAGTAGCCGAGCTAAACCAGCTCCTTGGTTCACCGAGGAGCTGGCAGCGTTGAAGCGAAAGAAGAGGGAACTAGAGAGCGTGTGGCGTTCGGATCCGAGCGAGCCAAATCGAACACGGTTTGTGTCCTTTTTAAGGGCATATGCCGCGGCAATAAAAGCCGCAAAGAAAACTTTCTTTGCGGCCACTATTGCGTCTGCAAAGAACCGTCCGGCGAACTGTTCCGAGTTGTCAGAGGCCTATTAAAACCCGCCACTCAGGATGGGTGCCCTGATGACTCGGCAGCTCGCTGCGAAGCCTTTGCTCGGTTCTTCGCAGACAAAGTTGCTTTGATCCGCTCTGGACTGGATACCATATTAACGGCAGTATCTGAGGATGTAACACGAGCATCTGCTTGTCCGGTTTTGATGGATTCATTTCAATTGGTTCAATCCGAGGATGTGGACAAGGTGCTTGGAGGAATGAGAGCTACCACATGCATCCTAGACCCCTGCCCATCCTGGCTTCTAAAGGAGGCCAGAGGGGGATTGGCCGAGTGGGTGAAGGTGGTGGTTAATGCCTCCCTTCGGGAGGGCAAAATTCCAGCCAGCTTAAAGCAAGCTGTGATAAAACCGCTGTTGAAGAAACCATCACTGTACCCCACTCAATTCGTCAACTATCGGCCTGTTTCCAATCTCCCCTTTTTGGGCAAAGTCATGGAACGTGTGGTGGCCTCACAACTCCAGGCATTCTTGGTAGACACGGATTATCTGGATCCGGCACAGTCTGGCTTTAGGCCGGGGCATGGTACCGAGACAGCCTTGGTCGCCTTAGTGGATGATCTGCGTCGGGAGCTCGACAGGGGGAGTGTGTCCCTGTTGGTGCTGCTCGACCTCTCAGCGGCCTTCGATACCGTCGACCACGGTATCCTTCTGGGACGCCTCGCGGAAATGGGTCTTGGAGGTACTGTTTTGCAGTGGCTCCGCTCATTCCTCGAGGGTCGGTCTCAGAAGGTGTTACTGGGAGACTCCTGTTCAACCCCACAACCTTTGTCTTGTGGGGTTCCTCAGGGTTCAATACTGTCTCCCATGTTGTTTAACATCTACATGAAGCCGCTGGGCGAGATCATCCGGAGTTTCGGAGTGCGATGTCATCTGTACGCAGATGATGTTCAACTCTGTCACTCCTTTCCACCTGCTACTAAGGAGGCTGTCGAGGTCCTGAACCGGTGCTTGGCCGCTGTGACGGTCTGGATGGGGGCGAACAAATTGAAATTGAATCCAGACAAGACAGAGGTACTCCTGGTTAGTCGCAAGGCCGAACAGGGTATAGGGTTACAGCCTGTGTTAGACGGGGTCGCACTCCCCCTGAAGACACAGGTTCGCAGTTTGGGTGTGATCCTGGACTCATCGCTGAGCCTGGAACCCCAGGTTTCGGCGGTGACCAGGGGAGCATTCGCACAATTAAAACTTGTGCGCCAACTGCGTCCGTACCTTGGGAAGTCTGACTTAGCCACGGTAGTCCACGCTCTGGTTACATCCCGCCTTGACTACTGCAACGCTCTCTACGTGGGGTTGCCTTTGAAGACAGCCCGGAAACTCCAATTAGTCCAACGGGCGGCAGCCATGATTCTAACAGGAGCGGGGCGCAGGGAGCATACAACTCCTCTGCTGCACCAGCTCCACTGGCTGCCGATATGCTACCGGGCTCAATTCAAAGTGCTGGCGTTGGCCTTTAAAGCCCTAAACGGTTCTGGCCCAACTTATCTATCCGAACGTATCTCAGCCTATCAGCCCACCAGGACCCTAAGATCTTCTGGAGAGTCCCTGCTCTCTATCCCGCCGGCTTCCCAAGTGCGGCTGGCGGGAACGAGAGACAGGGCCTTTTCTGTGGTGGCCCCTCGGCTTTGGAACACCCTCCCTATAGAGGTACGATCAGCCTCCTCGCTGATGGTGTTTCGGAAGAGATTAAAAACATGGATGTTTAAACAAGCATTCGGTTAATCCGTTGCAATGTATATTGATGACTAAAGGACTGGTAATCATGGACGACGAATTTTGGACTGTGATTTTAGTTACGAGATGCATGGGATTATTATTGGTGGCCCAATAATTTGTATTGTATATGTGTTTTATGTTTTAAATTGAATACTGTTTTTAATTGTTGTAAACCGCAATGAGTCGCCGACTTAGGCTGAGATATTAGCGGTATACAAGTGTATAAATAAATAAAAATAAATTGGCCGACCAAAAGACAACCCGCCAAAATGGCACTAGAAGAATCTTCCACCTTGTGCGACTGTGGAGCAGATCAAGCAACTCACCATCTGTATGCTTGCCCACAATGCCCTGCCTCATGCGCAGAGGAAGAATTGTTTAAAGCTACAGACAATGCGGTTGCTGTTGTATATTTTTGGTCAAAAACTATCTAGCAGCTTGTGATCCCTTTATTTTATCAGTTTGAGATAAAGTATTTTATTAGTTTTAGATAAATTAGTTTATGCAAGGCTTTAGACACAAAACAAAGAAATAAAAATTGGAGACAAATTTAAATATGCTAGCCTCTACAAATTAAGAAAATGTGGCACATTTTTAAATTAATGTTCAGTTGAGAAGTCTAAATTTTTAATAGGACTAATTGCTTCACTGGGTAGAGTGAACTAATCACCTTAGGCAACAAGTGTTAAGGAAGGCCATCGGAACAGTAGCATCCCTCCTTCTTGTTTCTTTGCATATAAAAGAAGCAAGTTTAAGGTTATTGGTGATAAGGTGTTGTCGAAGGCTTTCATGGCCGGAATCACTGGGTTGCTGTGAGTTTTCCGGGCTGTATGGCCATGTTCCATAAGCATGTTCTCCTGACGTTTCGCCTGCATCTATGACAGGCATCCTCAGAGGTTGTGAGGTATGTTGGAAACTAGGCAAGTGAGGTTTATATATCTGTGAAATGTTCAGGGTGGGAGAAAGAACTCTTTGTCTGTTTAAGGCAGGTGTGAATGTTTAAACTGACCACTTTGATTAGCATTGATTAGCCTTTCAGTTTCAAGGTCTGTGTGTTTACTGCCTGGGGGAATCCTTTGTTGGGAGATGTTAGCTGGCCCTGATTGATTCATGTCTGGAATTCCTTTGCTTTCTGAATGTTGTTCTTTATTTACTGTCCTGATTTTAGAGTTTTTTAATATTGGTAGCCAGATTTTTGTTCATTTTCATGGTTTCCTCATTTTTGTTGAAATTGTCCACATTCTTATGGATTTCAATGGTTTCTCTGTGTAGTCTGACATGGTAGTTGTTAGAGTAATCCAGCATTTCTGTGTTCTTAAATAATACATAGCTTTTTTTATTCATTTGTACGAGTCATTTAAAAAAAGATACCCGAGACCCTGGATCAGATACGTCTAAAAAAATGAAATGTTCTTGATCTGAAAATTTCTTAGGGAAGAATTCCACAAGATTCCACATTGAAAGTCTACCAACCACTTTCAAAGTTCTGCGTGTCTTATTTTTGCACTGCAGTGAGTTAACTAGAGGAGGAGATCAATCTATTCCAGTGCCATAAAAAACAACGGACTTAGATGGATTGCTTTGATAACAATCATCCATCTGGGGTTTCCAAGGATGTTTTGCTGATGTGACATTCAGTCTTGATGACAACAAGTCTATTGAGACACACTAAAAAACTAGGATATAATTTTGCTCTATTAGAAGGAGGGAAAGGAAAGATTATGATGATGGTGGCAAAGATTATTGAAGCTAGGTTCAGTACATTGGGGGGAAAAGATTTAAGACACCTCCCACGTTCTCCCACTTACTTCTCCACTAGTCCTTTCTGTTGCAGGATACGATATACCTCTGCAGATGTCTGTGGTCCTTGTAGCTTTTGCCCGTTCAGCATTTCCTGTTCCAATTCTTCAATAGACTGAATATGGTAAAAGTTTATCTTGTAAGAATTTACAGACACAGAGAATCTCTGAAATAATACTATGTAACAAATAATAATACACTTTATTTATATTCCACTTTATCTCCCTGGAGGGATTCAGAGAAGATTACAGTACATATAAAAAGCAAACATTCAATGCCTTTTACACAGTGAACACAATGAGATATAAGGTAAAGGCCTTCTCCTTTTTCATTTCTGGTGTCTGGAGGTGATGCTCAACCATGGCCATGGGGAGGTGCTCTTGTTCTATTTTTCCTTGCCGAGGAGCCTGTTGTCCACAGACATCTCTGATTGGTTGCTGGCATATCTGCATGGGGTGCCCTTTTACCTTCCCACTGAGGCGATACCTATTGAACTACTCGAATAGCATGCTTTTGAATTGCTAGGTTTGCAGAAGCTAGGGCTAACAGCGGGAGCTCACCCCTTCAAAATGCCAACTTTCCAATCAGCAGACTTCTTGCAGCTAGCAGTTTAACCTGCTCTGCTACAGCATTTATAACCCAGTAATAATAATCGTATTACATAATGTAATTTTAACTTCAACCCCTGCCTGTTAAAAGAAATCAAAGAATTGTTACATCCTACATATCAACTATTGTATTTTGGGGGGCCTAGATCTGCACATAAAGGGAGCAGATCTTGCCAAGAGGACCCCATGATAATTCACCTTAGGGTTGCCATAAGTCAGAACTGAATTCAAGGCATACACACCAAATCTCTGTATTACATCACCAAAACTCCCCAGAAGATCCCAATCAACAGTTCAAAATAAAACAATTATTCTCTGGACTCCTTTCATGAAGATAACAGCACTAAACAATCAAGCAGGTCATAAAAAATGTACCTTTCCAGTTTTAACAAATGCTTCAGCCACTCTCCGGTTGCGGCCACCATAACATGTTGTAATGAGATCTGCAACCCCACAGCTTTCCAGAAAGGTGGCTGTAGACACTTGTCCCTTGCAGAAGATCTTTGCAAATGCAATCATTTCCATGAGTCCAAGTCTAATAACAGCCGCTTTGGTGTTATCACCACACTGAAGCCCGTCGCAAAAGCCAGCTCCCACTGCCACTATATTCTAAGGGAAAAGAAAGAGACATTAATAAGAGGTTGGAAATGGAATATGGTTGGAAATGAAAGCTACAAGGAATACCTCTCAGGATAACCTGTGTCTGCATACATTTCTAGCCTCAAAGGGCTATTCAAAAGAAACAGGCAACTTTGTGCTCCATCCTGAATTGATGGACTCTAACTCCCATCAGTCGGCAGAGTCAATAATGAGTCCCCACAACTATGAGACGTGTAGTCCAATAATAGCAGAGGAAACAGAATTTGTCCACAACTTCTGATGGAAAATGTTTAGCATCTTAAATTAAAATGGGAATTTATTTATTTATTTATAGTATTTATATTCCGCCCTTCTTACCTCGAAGGGGACTCAGGGCGGATCACACAACACATATGCGGCAAACATTTAATACTGTTTATACACTGACAAGATTGACAACTGTGCATAGACAGAGATATATATAAGCTTTTCCCATCTTCAGCATCTTGGAGGTTTGTGCTTGGTTCTGGCCATGGGGGGTGCTGTCGTTCCATCCCTCTCCCGAAGACCTTTGATTGAAAACTTCCTCCTTGATCATATTGCTGCCATTTCCTTATGGGTGCCTTAAATACTTTCCTGCTTACGCAGTATCTATTTATTTACTCATATTTTGCTTTCAAACTGTTAGGTTGGCAGAAGCTTGGCGAAAGGCCAGGAGCTCACTCCAATCCGGGCTTCTAATGGTCAACCTTTCGATTAGCAAGATTTACTGCAGCTGGTGGTTAACCTGCTGTGCTAAAGCTCGGCCCATCCAGCATGGCCCATCTTCCTGTTTTAAATAACGTAATGATCCAACTCCAACTAGAGCTAGGGAATCTCTTAGCTTGAGATGGCTGCTAGTTAGTTTTGGCAATAACAGGCAGGTGAGAATTATAGAGGGTGGAGCTTAACACTGCTTTATGGGGCTGGACTAGGGAAGGCCAGTGGAGACATTACCAGATATCTATAATTGTACTAGGCGGGCATTTCCTTCCTGACTATATGCAGCATGGAGAGACAAGCAATGGCTCACAAAGCTACATTTAGATTCAGTGAACTGAAGAGAGCTTTCGCAGAATTGATAAAATTCAGAACAGATTGCCTACGCACTGCTTGCCAAGCTCAACTGAGAAAGAGTCAATGTGATTAATGGATTTTTCTCTTGCATTTCTTCCTCTCAGGGCATGGAAAAGTCAGAAGGAAGTTCTAAAACAGTAAAGAAGACATACACAGTCATTGAAGGTGCCCTACCTCCTCGAACTGTTGTGGTTACATAGTGGTTACTCTATCAGTCCAAAAGATGCTAATATTTCATAGCACCATGCAGCCAAAATAATTCCAGTTGTAGAGCACTGCTAAAAGGGAGCTCATAATGTGGGTGCATTCGTAAGTAATGCCAAACCAGGTTATGAGCAAGACCTGGTTTCAGTATTTACAACTCCAGGAAACATGGCTAAATAACATTAAAAGATTCATACAGCTGGCTTGTTTGATGATAGAATGAAAAAAGTCAATATGTGGGTTTCAGGTGGCACTTATGCAATTTATGCTTGAAGAAAACAAGATGAGCATTATATTCTCATTTTCCTGAAGAAGTCTGGAGTATTATGGCTGGAATCCTGTTGGAAGACAGGCGGACAAATGTCAACATGCTGGAAGAAGCAAAGACCACCAGCACTGAAGTGATCCTCCTACGCCATCGACACTGCTGGTCTGGCCATGTTGTCCGAACACCCAAATACTATCTCCCAAAGCAGTTACTATATTCCCAACTCAAGAATGGAAAATGGAATGTTGGTGGACAGGAAAAGAAATTTAAAGATGGCCTTTAAGTTAACCTTAAAAATTGTGGCATAGATACCAAGAACTGAGAAGCCCTGGCCCTTGAGTTGGAGGGTGTAGTAAAATCTACCTTTTAGGCGACCAGGCCAAAGCCTGAATATCAGTGGCTTTCATCTGGAAAGGCAGGCAGCAGCAGCAGGAGGAGTCAAGCCGACTCCTGATTGGGTAGAGCAATTAGGGGAGGAGTTGGTTGAGAGAGGGAAAGAAGCTGTCAGTTTTTGACAGAAGAGAGAAGGGTCTTGACATCAGACACAGAAGGATAGGATTTTAGGAGAGGAAGCTAGATAGAGTTCTGACAGGGAAGAAGAGTTTTTAAAGTGAGCCTTAAGGTTAGGGAATAAGGTTGAGACAAAGGCTAGGGTTTTACTGTGTTAAGAGGACCAGTAAAAGAGAGTTTTGTCTTATTAAACTTAGAAGAAGTTTAAGATACCTTATTGCCCTGTGTGTGAGACAGACAGGAGTCTGTTCTCTAAGAGATACTGTTTCTATGAATAGAACAGTGTGTTTAAGGAAACTCACAGTTTTAAAAGCTTTTTGGTCTGTAGAACTAACTGTTTAATTCAACTAAGTCTCTGCATCTGAATTACGCTTCTGTACCGCTCATTCTATGAGTAGATGTTTGTTTAAAGCTCAATAAACTTTTTCTAGTTCACTTTTAGCTGGTGTAAGTCTCAGTCTGTCAAGCACTTTTAAAGCACTTTTAATCAGCCAGTTAAGGAGTAATAGAAGATACCCAGGGCAAACACATTTGAAGAAGCATAAATGGAGGGCGAAAGGGAGAAACATGCCAAGAGGAAGGCATGTCAAGCCAACCCTGACCAGGACCGCCTTCCACCTGGATACTGATGCCCTCACTGTGGAGGAACATGCAGGTCAAGAATAGAGCTCCACAGTCACCTACGTATCTACTGCCAAGAGACTACACTTGGAAGGCCATCATACTTGGACAACGAGGGAAATAAGGTTAGTTCCAAGTAGAGCACAGTAAATCCACAGAATGGAGGATTGCTGAATGGAGGTCAACAGAAGAGTAAATGCAATAGATTTGATGGGTTTACTCTAGTTAGGAGTAACAAGAGGGTTTTGGTCAAAGTGTTTTTCAGTTTTGGAAATCTGATCAGCCAACATGCATTGACTCATTTCTAGAATGTCCTTAGTTTTCCTTCTTCCTCCATTAATGGATGACAGGCTATCCATTTGCCAACTAGAGAAAGAGGAATTTCTTTCACTGGGACTCAAATACATAACTTGTCGATTTGTTCAAATTTCACTACGAAAAAACACCTATTAGCTTCAGCATCTACAGGAGGGATGTAAACGCACATTCCCTCCAAGGAAACTAAAAGTAACCAGAAGTTATTTCTCAGTTTTGTTTAAGTTGATTTTTTTTCTCCTGGCTTTTTCAGTTTCAGGAGAATTTGGTAGGTTTTTTTTTTCCTTGTCAGGAGCGACTTGAGAAACTGCAAGTCACTTCTGGTGTGAGAGAATTGGCTGTCTGCAGGGATGTTGTCCAGGGCACGTCTGGATGTTTTTCATGTTTTACCATCCTTGTGGGAGGCTTCTCTCATGTTCCAGCATGGGGAGCTGGAGCTGACAGAGGGCGCTCATCCGCGCTCTCCCCTGATTCAAACCTCCTCCGACCTGTCGACCATCAGTCCTGCCGGCACAAGGGTTTAAACTATTGCACCACTGTGGTGATATGTTGTAAATGAGGTGGGGGTGATCTGGCTGTTTTTAAAAGAAGTGGAAGCCTGAGAACTTTGTAGTGGTCCTCAGGGCCACATAAACAGGAGTTGGGACCATATAAGGTCCATGGGCCATATTTTGCTTATCCCAGCTTGGCCCTGCTCCACTGTCTTCAAGAAACTGTATCATATTTAGAGTATTCAAGACTCTCTTGTGCTAAAAAGGTCTCAAATACAAGATAAGCTGGAAGCTCTTGTTGACAGGCAGCTGTTCCTAGCTCTTTTCCTTCCTCGCTCCAACACCAAGGAAATAGCTGGTAACTTCATAACACATCTGTCATTGAAAAGAAAGATTTCGCTTCCAGTTCCAACAGTGCTCTATAGTGCATGCACAGCTCTATCAGCTGATTGGCAGAGACCATAAAATACATGAAATGGAAGTGGATGCACAGAATAAGTGCATCCGAGTAGCAGATGTTCTTCCATCATCTTCCAGCTGTGGATCGTTACACTTGAGACTGTATTTAGATGTGCTTAGAAGCTAAAAATTATCACTGCTGGCAGAAGAATAACATATTTAGATTTCCTCTCTTAACTTTTGTGCTTGTTTCGGTTTTCAGGCAGCCATTCAAACCTTCCTTATTTAGACAGACGGATGCAGAGAAAATTAGAAAAGGGAGGAGAGGAGGGGAAAGCAACTACTGATGTAAGCAACATTTTATTTGGCTTTGCTTGCTCGACACATCTTGAGGACTCCTGATGTGTCATACAGCAATAGGAGAGGGGGAAAACATTCAATATCAATGCTCCTCACATATTAGGACAAGACTGAGAGTGGGAGTTCTTTAAACATCATGAACCATAGTGATATTTCGAAAGGTTTCCCTTTTGTTGTTAATTTTAAACCCAGGTTTTGTCTGTTTTTAATACTACATGTTTTTCATTGTTATTCTCTCTAATCTGTCAGATGCTTTGAGTTCCAGTCTGCGAAAAAGACAGGATGTAGATCAAATGAAGAATAAGGGAAGGTAATAATAATAATAATAATAACAATAATAATAGTAATAATACTTTATTTGGGTTGTTGTAAGTTTTTCCGGGCTATATGGCCATGTTCTAGAGGCATTTTCTCCTGAGGTTTCGCCTGCATCTATGGCAAGCATACTTTATTTGTATACCGCCCTATCTCCCCAAGGGGACTCAGAGTGGTTTCCAACATATAAGGCAAAACATTCAATTGCTGGAAAGGAAATCCATACAGATAAATTAAAATAAACATCATAAAACAAAAACCTGCTAAAAACAGGCCTAGATAAACTAAGGTGTGGGGGCTGGATGCAGCCCTTGGGGAGCTTACCCCAGGTCCTCCTCATTTTCTCTGTCCTCTTGGCAGAAGGACACGGTGGCCCGCCGTGTCCTTATGCCAAAAAGATGGGGGAGGAAGGCCCTCTGGAGCGCTCTCAGCCACCGTGTGTTTCGTCCTTTTCCCGGCATGAGGACAGTGCAAGCAACCCCATCCTTATGCCAGGAGGATGACTTGGGGACGGCTCGAGGAAGGCATATGGCAGTTGAGAGCCCTCTGGAGCACTCTCAGCCAGCGCCTCTCTTGCCCTCCTCCTGGCATAATGCCAAGAGGATAGCCCAAGGATCAGGGGAGGAGAATTGGGGGAGGGGGGGGGGGAGCAGGGAGATTGCCGCATGTTCCGCTTTCCTCCTGGCACAAGCACAGGTTTAGCAGCCTCGTCCTTATGATGGGAGGATAACCTCAAGTTCACCCAGGTCCTGCCCTGCCCCCTCATGACCCCACCCTCTCCCGGACCCCACTCTCTCCTGGGTCCCAACTTCTCAGGCCCTTCGCACCCAGTGTGTGCCCAGTCCTCCTCCCTCCTGGCCCGGCCCTCCTAGTCAGGCCCACAATGCAGCTCCAAGGCAAAAAAAAATGCTCATGCCTATGCTAAAACATACCCCCCAAAAAATTAAAAAAACAATTTCATTACAGGTAAAATTTGTAGATGAACATCTTAGAGGCCATACATTCTCTGTACCTACAGTGGGAAGTGTAAGTAAAGAATTGCCTGCCAATTCTTCTTTCTAGCAACTTAAGTTGTGTTGCGAGTCGAGGAAAATTGTAACCTTATCTCAAGTTTCCTGCTTCATTGCAGGCAAGACAGCTGGTCACCTCCGAGTATTTAGAAGTCTAGTGCAATGATGGCAAACCTTTAAGAGACTGAGTGCCCAAAAGGAATGGGTAGTTGGGAGTCGAGCAGCCAAGGGGTGGTGAGCGGGAGAGGGTGTGGCAAGCCCAAGGAGAGTGAGGGGGGCAAGTGGGGAGGAGCAAGCGGACGAGCGGGGGCAGGCAAGTAGGGGTGGGTGAGTGAGCAGGTAGGCAAGTGTCATGTATCATGTCCTGCAGTTGATGGTAGCAGACCTAGCAGTTGGTGATAGAAGGGTTAATGTAAGTCTTAGTTCTAAAGGGCTGAGAAATTTGCAAGTAACACTGTACAGGTAAAAGCAATTAAGGGTGGAGGCATGCAAGGGATAGATTGCCGCTGGGTGTTACTGGATTTAAGGAGCTAACCTTGGGGCTGATCTTTGGTAGAAAGGTATTTTTGTTATTTTGGTGGTAGATGCTGATGGTTTCCCCCCAGGTTTTTGGATTTTCAGTTTCCTGACCTGTCTCCTGAACCCTTGGAACCTTGAATCTTTGCACTGGCTTTTGACTACGGTATAGACTCTTGATCCCTGGACTTTGCTCATTGAACTCTCAGCATCTGACCACTGGACTGGACTCTTTGACTACATTGTAGCATTTGCTATCAGTTTTTATTTTATATTTTGTGGTTGAGTGCTATCTTTATGTTTTATATCTTGGACTATTAAAACAGCCAGGAAGTAAGTGCTGCTTTAATTAAACTGTTTGATACAAACTGGGTGTTTGTTTGCCTGGATACTGGCAGAGCCCTGGCATCGTGAAAGGAGGGAGGGCGCTGTATGCCCCTTTAGGCATGTAGGCCATAGGTTCGCCAACACTAGTCTAATGGCTTCTAAGGTATAACAAATGTATTGCATGTGTGAATTATGTATTTGTTTTTTATTTGTATTGTTATTATTTTTGTTTTTGCCACAAATGAGATTCAAGATACATTTTCACTGACTGGTTCTTGCATTCTAATGTCAGGATAACAACTCCACCTTTTTCTGAGAAGACAATACTGCCTGACAGAAGGCAACCTGAGGGTAGGTTTGGTAAGAATCCTCTATCACTGGTCTACAGTCTGAACAGTGGGCTTGTTATCATGTTCCCACAGCTTTCTAGTTTTTGGGATCAGGGTAGGCAGCACTTTCATTTTTAAATATTGTCCTCCAAAGGGCTAATCTTACCTTAAGAGCACCACAAAGCTCAACTGTATCGGCATCATCTACCACAGTTATTCGGAAATTTGGAGTCTGAAGAAGTTCTTTGAAGAGGACTCCATTCTCCAAAATTTTACAACCTGTTTTTCAAAAGGGCATATAATGATCATTTCCAAACAAAGTGGTTCTTCTTCATAGTATTGTCATGTTTAGCATATTATACTCAAAGGTAATTATTATTATTATTATTATTATTATTATTTTATTTCTTACCAGCCTTTCCCTACAACTTGAGATAGGTTTCAACACAATTTAAAAACACAAACATAGCAAAAATTCAACAAATATACATATTTCTATAAAAGATCCACCTAGCATGTCTGTATTCTTTCAAGAAGATCCTATCCTATTTTATCACCATAACAAGCCTCTGCAGGAGGAAAGGCTGACAGACAGCGACTACATTCATGGATATCTGACAATCATCATGATACAACTGGTATTTGAATCAATTTCTTCCTCATCTCACTGTGTCTACTAATACTGAGCATATCAGACAAAGCTCAGCAATACAAGATTTCAGGCTAATACTGATTATAGGTTTTCAGTTGAAATGAGCTAATCTAAACTAAGCCCTTAGTCATTAGTCTAACATTCTGTTCACATAATGGCAAATGAAAGGGTTCTGAAAAGCTTCAAAGAAGGACATGAGAGAGTAGTATTGAGAGGCCTATTGATAATTTATGGATCATCACAAGTTGCCTGTGGGAGTAATCTTGTTGTTGTGTGCCTGCCTTCAAATTATTTTTTTCTAAGAGGATGAGAGAGGGACTTGTCCACTCAGGAGGTTTCCATGGCTGAACAGGGATTCACGTTTTGGTCTACAGCAGTGGTTCTCAACCTCTTTTGGCCTTCAACCAGCTGTTAGAAATCCTAACAGCTGGTAAAGTGACTGGGATTTCTGGGAATTGGAGGCCAAAACACTTGGGGACCCACAGATTGAGAACCACTGGTCTACAGTCATAATCAAACATTCAAACCACTGGCTCTTAGGGAGTAGTCTATGGGGCCATAATTATATTATTTCTTATTTAATTTATTGATTTATAGCCTGCCTTTCTCCTGGAAATTTGTTGTAAGGTGGCTGACAACAAATTTGGTACAATTTAAGAAAAAACGTGAATAAGCAATTATCATAAATTTGCTAAAATACTCCATTAAAAGACCTTTTCAGCGCAATTAAGAACCAAAGACTCCCACTGTAAGGAAGTAGTACTACAGAACTGTTGTTGTTTTGGGGTGCTTTCAGTAATTTCCAACCAATAGTGACCCCCCAAAGTGAATCTATCGTGAGGTTTTCTGGAACTGAGGGAGTGTGAGTCACCCAAGACCATCCAGTGGGCCACCACGGCCAAACATAGTTTGTTTGTAGTTTAAAATCCACGCGGAAGGCCCTGCTCTCGGTCCCACCAGCCTCGCAAACGCGTCTGGTGTGGACGAGGGACAGGGCCTTCTCGCTGGGGACTCCCCACTTGTGGAACTCACTCCCCAGCGAGATTAGATCAGCGTCCTCCCTCCTTTCCTTTAGGAAAGAAATAAAATCGTGGTTGTGGAACCAGGCATGTGGCTAGCAGACATAACGGCACTTGGACATTGAGCTGTACCAGATGATTGTTATAACAATGGAAACGGCTATATGATTGTATAACTAATGTTATGTTTTTAATTCATTGTATATTTATAGTTTTTATATTGTTGTTCATTGTGATATGGTGGCATTGAATTGTTGCCAGTGTTAGCTGCTCTGAGTTCCCCCTCAGGGGTTGAGAAGGGCGGGGTAGAAATGTTGCAAATAAATAAATAAATAAACAGGGAATCAAACTCTGGCCTCCAAAGTAATAATCCAATGCTCAAACCACTACACCACACTGGCTCTTAATCCAACAGAGTAGGAATTGCCAACATGCAATCCTACATAATACATATTGGAAATTCCTACTCTGCATTAAGATGCAAAGGAAAAGACTAAGCCATCCCCTTAATGTCTATGCTCAAAAGACTGGCAGTTGCTTCTTGGGTCAGAAAGAATTTGCCTCATTCAGCCAATTCAAGAACCAGAACTCCGGATGATATGGGAACTCTCCCACTGCTGATACTCTTTCAGGAATAGTCGTGGGGAAAGCAGAAATTAAAACTGAGAATGGAGTCATAGACCCCTCAGTAACATTATCTATTCTTGACTCCATTCCTGCAGAATGAACAATAATAAACAGAGAAGATCCTGGAATTTAGATCTAGCCTGTATGAAATTTAGATCTAGCCTGTATGAAATTTAGGGCATTTCTGGAAATAGACATATATACAAACTGCGATCGACACTTATCTTCCAGAGGCATTAGACATCATTGAAAAGTATTGAGTTACTTCACATACTTCACATACTTGTAGTATTTTGTACAGCAGCTTGCCTTATATTTTACCAAGCAGCCTTATATTTTGGGGAGATATCATTTCTTAGAAAATAAATTATCAGGCATGAAGGCATAATAAAGTCTGAAGATTTCACTTCCCCTCCTTTTCCCCACAATAATACTTTTCTTGCTCATATCTGCTACGGAGGATTTGCAATCTTGCCTTCTCAGAAGTAAGTCTCAGTGAACTCAATTGAAGTAACAGCAGAATGGACTTTTCAAGTAATACATCTATGATATTAGGACATAATAAAAATATCACATTATTCTTTCAAATTACCTATTGTAGTCTCACAGAACTTCTCCGCAGCTACCTCATTGGCAATGTTAGCACCCATGAGCACACTAATGTCTATTCCCATTTTCTCTCGGATTATGTCTGAAATGAGTCTGAGTCCCTCTGGACCTTCGTCTATTCCCTGTAGTAAAAATAACAGAAAATAAAACGGAATAAGAGAATAACACTAAAACTTTTTCCATGTACTCGTAATAGCTGAAGATAAAATGGAGGTAATTATCCTTGCTAGGAGGTGGAATTTAGAAGCCATCTCTGTTAGGCTACATCCTTATTTCTGCAATGATCACTAGACCACAATCTCGTTAACAAGCTGTGTTTTTAAAAAATCTATCCTTCAGAACTCAAAAAATATTGAGCTAAAGATGAGATCCAGATCAGGCCAAATTGTTGTCAAGGCAATTTGCATCTTTGTGTCCTCAGCATCCTTGAAATAAGAGAGTAATCACTATTCATAAGTAAATGAGGAATTGATTACGGCACCTTACAATATACTAGTAGACAGATGCATAAGTATTCCTGACCTTGCTAAATTTCCCAGCAGTATACACATTTAATTGGCAAAAAAGGAGAAAAGAGCTGATGAAGATAACTCACTGTATTATTTATTGCTGCCAACTGGCTGTGGTGGTGGGAATCCCAAAACATTGTTTTGGACCTGGAATTTATAAAGGTTTTTGAAACAAAACAGCACTTGGCACTACATATCAAAAGACTGGGATCAATAGAAGCTCAAATACCAACTGCTTCTGTGTCTATGTGTAGCAGAAGGGAGAAGCTATTTTTTCCCTTTCAGTTTTAGACAAATGATGTTGCAAGGTGCACGACTCAAAATGGTTGGTTGTCTTTTTCTGATAAGGCTTTTGGGGAAGTGTAACTGTAAGGGAAGTGGTGAGACCTGAAAAGTCCTCCTATGAATATATGATGCCACACACAGCACTTTAAATAACATCCAAAAGTTCCAGATAGGCATTGCCCTTCTCAGGCATGTAGCCGGGGGGGGGGGGGGGCTTGAGGGACTTCAGCCCCCCCCCCCCAAATTGTCAGGGTGGTCCACAAGAAGGCCTTACTGGTACATTATTTAAACTGTTATGTTTATTCATATCATGATCTGATCACCATGCTCAATATATACCATATGCATGGGGTTATTGGGATAACAATACAAAAGGTTTGCTAGGGTAGATCCTTACCCCTCCCCTTTGAATCAAACTCAGCCCTCCCCCCCCCCCCGAATCAAACTCAGGCACCCCCCCGAATCAAAATCCTGGCTATGGGCCTGGCCCTTCTCAATAGTTTCCAGGTTAAAAAAAAAAACAATCTCCCATGCCTTCAATAACTTCAGCAAGTTTTACTTATGGATGGAACAACAAGTTTAGAGAAAATGTGTATCAAATTGCATTAGGAATGAAGCTGAGAAAAACAGGCATCTTCTTCTCTCCTACCCTTCAACCATTTTAAAATGGTTATCGCATACAGCAGAGTCTCACTTATATGACATAAACGGGCCGGCAGAATGTCAGATAAATGAAAATGTTGGATAATAAGGTATATCCCACTGTTACCCATCCAATGCAGTGCTAGACACCTAGAATAATAACAACAGGGTTAAGGCAAGGCAATGCCTTGGGGCTTGAACAGCCCAGCAGGAAGTGCCCGGATGCAAAAGAGGAGCATGGAAATCATAGCAGGAAGGAGGGAGGACACTTCCACTTCTGGTTCTGTCTCTTTTCCCTCTTTCTCCCCCCACTCCTCATCTTGCCCTTTTCACTTACTGGGAATGGAAAGAGAGTTGTGGAGTGCTCCTTTAATTGAAGGGGAAATGCTGGAAGAAAAGGGGGGCATCGGATAAGAGTGTCGGTTAAGACAAAATGTCGGATAAGTGAAGGTCGGATAAGTGAGACTCTACTGTATATATAAAACAGTTTGTCTTGTGTGTGTTGTACCTTAATGAGAGTTATACCAACAGCTTTCTTGGCTACACGTCCAGTGATGTCATCACAGATTTTATGAATAAACTGGTGAGGAATAACAAAAACCAACAAGTCTGCATCTTTTACAGCTTCTTTCAGGTTTGGAATAGCAACCTATGGAATAATACGTAATGGGGGGAGGGGAGGAAAGTGGAAAAAAGTGAAACAACATTAAGTGAAACTTTTCAATTTTTAGATTTTGACAAAATTAAAGGTTTGACACTACAAGTTGGGTCTCTGTAAATGCGAAATATCCCCCAAAATTAAACTTTTTGCTATCAGTTCAGAATGTGGTGGTGGGGGGGGGGGGGGGGAAGGGAGGATTTCACTTCTCTTCCCATCTACTTTGTTAAAAAGGCAGGCAACATGCTGTCATTCTGGAGCACTTGCCTTTGACCTGTGAAAGCAGTCCTCCCATCCTCTTGCTATCAGGGCTCCTTGAGGAAAAGCTCAGCAGATATTGAATGGGTAACTAGCCCCCTTTCCGCATCCCTTTTCACCATATAAAGATATGTGCTAAAATAAAATAAAAAACTTCTGGTCCTACATATTTTAATAAAAGAGACTCAAACTAGTTTTCAGGCCACAAAACTAAATACATACTAGATTTCAAACCAAATATTCTGAGGTGTCTTTTTTCCAGCACTACCATGGCAAATTAATCCATCCGGATTTGGTTGACACAATTAAAAAGACAGTTAGAAAGCAAATAGTAACAGCAAATTATAAATTGATAGGAACAGCAGACTGCAAACACAGTGACATAAGCAAATGTAGACGTAATCAAAATGCATTCAATACAGACCAGCAAAATATTTCTAGCTATTCTGCTTTTAAATGGAAGATGTGAAATTCAGAAGCCATATTTTGTGTCTGAAAAAATGATAAAGAGCCAATAGGATTTCTATGCAGGTTGATTCCAGAGACTTATGAAGATCATTCTACTGAAGGAATTGCGTTATCCCAGCAATCCCTTCCTCCTACAACTCGGTGTCTCCCCAAAATCAAGTTTAGATCTAACACAATTCTATTTTTGTGCCAAAACAGTAGTAAAAAAAACAATGCATGTTTATAAAAGGGAGTATTTTACATAAAATGCTATATTTTTACACTCTTGAATTTTGTGGAAATGTTACATTTTATGTGAAATACTATATCTTTCTGAAGAATATATTGCTTTCTACAAACGATGAGTAAATGCTATTTCTCCGATGGCATTACAAGGTATTTTTTTTGCACATTTTAAATACTCTAGTACTGGTTTTTTTTATCACATTTGTATTTTGCAAAATTCTTTTAAAAAAACCTTCTGTGAAATTTTGAGAAATGCAAAAAAAAAAAAAAATCAAAACTAACATCAAAGTATTGAAAATGTGCAAAAAATCCTGTAATATCACCCTCACTGAAAAAACATATACTTTTTGGTGTACAAAATGGAGTAAGCAAAGATTTACATTCCTAGAGACTGGGCCATGTACAACAACACACTGCATGCAACTGAAAAGCCAAGGTCTCTAGACTGTGACCATGACATTATCTAGCAGATGCTTTTTAGGGTTTCTGGTAGGATTTTACTTTATATATCTGTGGAGGCTGTGAGCTGAACCTAATTTTTTTTCCAAGTATGTTTGTGTGTGTTCAGTTCTTGAGAAATACAGCTCCCCAAACTCCTTGGTATGCTTTTCTTTGGACCCTATGTGTGTGAGTGTAAGACTTACCACATTTTCTGGTAGCTTGTAACCAGGGAGATATTTTACATTCTCATGGTCATTATTTATGATATCTGTCAATTTTCTTCCATTAACGGTTTCTTCAAAAACCCACATCTTCACCGTAGAAGCAAATTTCTGCATCGTCTTTACATTTTTGCCTATTATTTTAGCCACAGCAGATCCCCTGTTTTAAAAATAGGAGGGCAAAGGATTATGCCTTATAATATATGACACTTTCAAACTGAGAATGGTAATTCAATTTTAATAGTAAAGCAAGAAGTCCAATTACTTGTAAAAAATACTGCAGTGGAGGGATACCAGTGACAGAGAAATGCACCTAGGGATTGTTCACTTAAGTGGCTGCCTGTCAGTCCCATGAAATTTAACTTCCGTTAGCTCTTTTAATCCAATTTAAATCAACAGGAGAAGTAACTTAAAACTAGTTCTACTGATACCAATTGTCAATTATTATATATTTTAAAATGCAGGTCCTACTGTAATCTCCCAAGTGGAAGTCAAAGCAGCTAACAATGCACATATAACTCAATGAATCCTATAGAATGCCGTGAACAACCATATAAAAAGCAGCTCCACTGGGTGCCGACAAGTTTTTGGACCAGATTCAAAGTGCAGGTTATCACCTATAAAGCCCTATACAGTTCAGGTCCGACCTATATTTGAGACCGCATCTCCTCTTACGAAACAGAGCGGGCACTGAGATCTGCTGGGGAGGCCCTTCTCTCAGTCCCACCTCAGTCTCAACTGTGGTTGGTGGGGACGAGAAAGAGGGCCTTCTTGGTGGTGCTCCCCTCGCTTTGGAATGCCCCCCCGAGGGAGATCAAGCTAGCCTCCACTCTCCAAGCCTTCCATACACCATTGAAGATAGGACCTTTTAGACAAATCTTTGATTATGTTTAGAAATCCTTAACGAACATATTGTTGGGACTCAGCCGGTGTTTGAGCCTGATTCTGTGATTGTTTCCTCCTCCTAATGTTTTTGGTTCTGATTTGGATAGTCAGTCTGATGAGATCAATGAGTATGAGATGCAAAATGGAGACACTTTGCACAATAAGGTTACTTCAGACACTGATCTAGAGGGTTCAGGGGAAAGGCCAAATTCCCATGAGAAAGCTTCTGTCAGAGCAAGGGAAAAAAGTTTACTCCCTTCTCTAGGCTCGAGTTTCCAAGATAGCTTGACACCTGGTAGAGTTAATGAGGAGATAGAGAAGACCAGTCGCCATCTGGAAATTAGCCAAAACAGTCAAGAGACCCAATGTTTACACAGATCAGAAAGAATTTGGCAGTTACGGCCAAAAACTTGGGGAGGGGGAGTAGGAACCAGTTTTTGGGACTTAAAGGTTGCCCTTAGAGAATGTTCTTCAGATCAGGCATTGTTTGGAATCAAGCTCAAGTCTCATGGAAGTTCCTGTTTCAAGTGGTCCCGTCTCCAAGGATAAATCTTATTTTTCAAGTGGATTAGCAGGGGCTAGTCTGTTCATGGTTTCCTATTGAAGGCTTTTGGGACATTCACTGCATTGGATTATTTGTGCAAGCTTTTTGGACATTGTTATTCTTATGTTTGGGCACTGCCTATTTTGCTGCTTTATTTGGCTTGTTTGCTTTTGGACTTTTACCTATTTTATACTCATCTCTTTTATTGGCTCCAGTAATTCTTCAAATAAAAATGACTCTTTCTTTATTCATGGTGTGGTGTGTTAATGATTAGAGGGCTCTGTTCCTGCTCTAGGGTACAACACATATTTAAGGACCTGGAGATTGTTTCATCTGCACTTTATGAGACTGATATTGACTGTAGTCATTTTATACTTGCAGCTATTGTTGCACTTTGCTGATTTTAATCAGTAGGGTTTTATGATATTATGTTGGCTGTTATTATTATTATTGTGTTATTGTTTATGCACCTGTTGTATTTTGTGTGTTAGCACCTTTGAGTGAGCCGCCCTGAGTCCCCTTGGGAGATGGTGGCAGAGTATAAATTAAGTTTTTTATTATTATTATTATTTGAAACACAACAAGATGAGTCCACAGCAAACAAGATCATTCTGCTGGCTGTTGTATTGGATCAAATGTTGGAAACTTCCCAAGTTTCTAGGACTGTGTGATGTATCGGCGAAAAATGCGTGCAGATCCCAGTACGGTGGCCTTTTGCAGCTGGCAGCTGGTAATTTTGTCAGCACCGATAGTATTTAAATGCAGTCCAAGGTCTTTAGGCACTGCACCCAGTGCGCCAATCACTGCTGGGACCACCTTGACTGGCTTGTGCCACAGTCTTTGCAGTTCAATCTTTAAATCCTTGTATTGTGTCAGCTTTTCCAGTTGTTTCTCTTCAATCCTGCTGTCACCTGGGATTGCAACATCAACGATCCATATTTTGTTTTTTAACATGATTGTGAGGTCAGGAGTATTGTGATCCAAAACTCTGTCAGTCTGAATTCGGACGTCCCAAAGTAGTTTGACGTGTTCATTTTCTGTAACTTTTTCAGGCTTGTGATCCCACCAGTTTTTTGTCGCAGGCAGATGATATTTGTGGCATAAGAATTATTATTATTATTATTATTATTATTATTATTATTATTATTATTATTATTATTATTATTATTAAAACACCATTAAAATTGTTTTCATTCCAAGCAAAGAAAGAAAAATAACAGCATGCTTTGAATGCCTTCAAGTGTACTCCAACTTAAGGCAATGCTATACAGGGCTTTTTGGGGTTCTTTTTGGCAAGATTACCTTTTTTTTAACAGAAAAGTATGTGGTAACACCTATGCTGACCTCTTAGGTTAGATGGGCCACCTTAACAGTGTCTTGCTCCACATTAATCAAATTCAGGGGATAGCCTGCATTCTGGAATTGAACTGACTGCAACTGTTCTCCGGCTGCAACATGGGTCTTATCTGTCAGTCGTCACCTGCAATGTCATCAGATGAGGTGACCTTCTGATTGGGGAAGAAGACAGAGGATTCTTCCTTTCCCCTGTCCCCCGTCACCCCATAATTCTGACTGATGTCCCTGCAGGTTATGGCCAACAGGACCTGTGTCATGGCGGGAAGCAACTGCAACACGAAAGAGAGGAAGGGATATTAAGGTTGGCCGTTCAGAAGTGCCAAACTGTGTTTGGTGCCTCTAGGCAGTTGGGACTCCCTTTCACATCGGCTTAGGGGAGTACTTGTCTGAGCCATCCCAGGGCCAATTCAGCATATCCCACACTGGATCGTCCCTAGTTTTGTGGATCAGTGTAGATATGCCCTTTGACTTGACCAGGGTCACCAATGGGTTTCCATGACTGAGCATGGATTCAAACTCTGCTCTCCCAGAACCTCAGTTCAATGCTCAAACCACAACATCATACTGGCTTTCAATGTATTCATTTTTTTCCCCTGATGAAGATCTTGCTCAACACACAGAGTTTGGCAAAATACGCCTTCTGCCCATCAGCAGCCCTTAGTAATCTCTCATATAGGCTGCTGAAATGGATTTAATGGGAAGAAGGTTCTATATATTATTATTATTCCATTGTGCATTTGTTGTTGACATGTTTAGATCTAACTTCCACACTCGATTTAGACCTAATGTCAGGTCTTCTGAGTATAAATTTTCAGTGAACTGATTATAAATTCTTCATACTGTTTCTCTTTATGTAAATTTTTCTCCAATACATAATGGTTCAAAACACAACAATACCCTTAGGAGACCACATTTTCTACATATCATTTTTGACAAAAGTGCAAACATGCATTTTTGAAAGCCAATTAGCCGCATAATTTCCTATCTTATTATCCAACTTTTTCAATGTTCTTCGGTGGCCTTGGACAAAGGAGGTCACTGATTGAAAATACGGGGAAATCTTGACAATCAGCAGGCTGCTTTAATTTGACTCAGAAATAAAAGACTGAGTGGCATATGAATAATTAAATTGGGGCAGATAAAGGAACAAGAACGCAACCCCATTGTCTCCAAATCCTCAAGATGGATGGCAAAAAAGGGTGTGTGTGTACTTGCCTATTGACTTTCTGGCAACTGATTGAAAAGGGAGGTCTCTTTCTGTAATGACATAAGCCTCTTCAATTGTTGTTCATAGAACCTCCTTCTTTGTGTATATGAGGTGATTCTTTTCTCTCTCTCTTTTTTTTTTGGAAGAATGAAAATACAGGTAGGGAATAAGTAGTTTCTCTTTTGATTTTTTAAATATACTGTGCTCCCCCCCCCCCTTGAAAACCTGCTTCCTTTAGACTTTGAAATAAATGAATTCTCTTCCCCTCCTCAAATTGCTAAGAGCCAATTTATTCACAGGAGGGATTAAAGGTGTGATTTGGAACAAAAAGAAGTTTGGTAAATGCATGTACATTTAAGGTACATATTGGCAGGAAAAACGAATGCACAAATATAGGGTACACCTAGTTTGAGAGCTGTACAAGTAAAAATAACCTAGGGTTCCTAGAGTCCTTCCAGACAGGCCCTATATCCCAGAATCTGATTCCAGGTTTTCTGGATTATATGAATCCCAACTGCCAGATAATCTGGGATAAACAGAAAGCCTGGGATCAGATCCTGGGATATAGGACCTGTCTAGAGGCCCTTACATACAGCCCTATATCCCAGAATATCAAGGATATTCTGCCCTGATATTCTGGGATATAGGGCTATGTGGAAGGGCCCTAGAGGGGTCCTTAGTAGTCTACAAAGTAAACATGAGTAAACAATGTGATGCAGAAGACAAAAGGCCAATATAAACAGGAATACAGAGTCTAGGGCAGTGTTTCCTCAACCTGAGAGTTGGGACCCTTAGGTGGGGGGTCATGAGGGGAGGAGAGGTTCAGAGGGGTCACCAAAGACCATCAGGAAACACGTATTTCTGATGGTTTTAGGAATCCCTTTGGCAGGAAAGGCTGAAGATCTCTTTGCCTATCCTTCTGTTCCTTTTTGAAAACAGATGGCAAATCCTCCCACCAAAAGCCCTCTTCCTGCTCTCTGGGTGTTGGTGAACTAACACTCCAAAACTCAAGGTCAATGCCCACCAAACTCTTCCAATTTTTTCTGTTGGTCACGGGAGTTCTGTGTGCCAGGATTGGTTCAATTCCACCGTTGGTGGAGTTCAGAATGTTCTTTGTAGATGAGCTATAAATCACAGCAACCACAACTCCCAAATGTCAAGGTCTATT